CAGGAAGGACTCGAACCGGAAGTGGCGTGGCAACGGAGAGGAACTTACAGAGCATCGCGCGGTTCAGCTAGGCGGTGGCGGGGCCGAGTCGAGCATCAAGTTGTCAGGTTTGTGTCAGGTTTGTGGGGCGAAGGGCACACTGTAAAAAATTCCGTACTTTTGTACGGAGATGGTACAGAAAAATATAGTACGGAGGTACGGAAAATACGGAACTTTCCGTAGTTGGCAAGTGCGGACGGTCCAGGCAAGTTATTGACCAGACATGTTCCGTACTTTTTCCGTACTTTTTTCTAACAGTGCAGCTAATTATAGTCCCCCCGACAAACTGTGGCATAAAGCTGCGGAAAACTCGGTATGCCGCTTGTGGTTAATCTCCGTAGCCATCTTGCACTGTAATCCAAGTGTGGACCTAGTCCACGCGAGCTGGGAAACGTGGACCACGAACACTCTGAGAAAAAAGTATGGAAAAAGTACGGAACATGTCTGGTCAATAATTTGCCAGGACCGTCCGTACTTTTTTTCCGTACCCGATCACACGGGTTCAAATCGAGCAAGTACGGACGTTCCGTACTTTTCTCCGTACTTCCGTACTATATTTTTCTGTACCATTTCCGTACAAAAGTACGGAATTTTATACAGTGAATGGTCCACATTTGGAAGTGTGATTGGCCTATGAGGAGTTCAGCGAGCGCTGTGAAGCGGTGACCATAGCTTGGTCCACGTTGTCTGGCGAGGACCATTGTGGTCCACGTTTCGTAGCGTGGACCTGGTCCACACTTGGATAAGCAGTGTGTCCAATATTCTCCGTAGGATCTAACTCTCTTCACTCTCAGACCTACATATATGGACTTTTTCTCTCTTGCTTATAGCGTTTGTGAGCAAACGTAAAATGTACTTTGTTCTTAACTATGCATAATTCAGATCGTTATATAGATAAAATTGTCAATAGATATCTATTGACAATTTTATCTTTATAACTTCATAATAATATTGTGTAGAAATTGAAAAGTTCATTGCAAATGACAAAAAGTCCGGTTTTATGGACGAAATACATTAAACAATGAACTAAATAGTGCATAGCTTAAGAATAATTAGAACTTACATATTACGTTTGCACAAAAACCTTTATGGCAAGAGTTAAAAATCAATGCGAGCCTGAGTGGGTTCTCCGTAGGTCCGTCCGTTCGCTGTGTTCTCCGTAGTCTTCCAGAACTATAAGGTCTGACGGAAAAGCCTGAGCAGTCTTACGGCGAATAGGGAAAAGTGCCGAAAATGGATCGGGGTGCCAATCATGGATCATTTACGTCAGGGAGCGTCCATAAAGTACGTAGCGCTTTTTGAGGCCCTTTTTTTACACCGCCCCCCATTAAACGCAGCCTCGGATCCCTCAGCCTCCCCCGGTGCGTTACGTAACGAAATGCTTTACAGTTAAATACGCGCAGAAACTGTCAAAACGTACGAGGCAACCGCACACAGTAAAAAAAGATTCGCTGTTTTGGTGGTCGTTCTATATCCAATCTCACCGAAACGGGTACCCCTACAAACCCGGCGACGGTCTGTCACCAAACCGGTGACCTGCGTCACCAGGTGGTGTTCCACCAGAGAGGTTAGGATGACCACAACAACTGTTTTTGAGCTGTTTGTGCATATTTGTGCGTGCCCGCCGGCAACGTTACGCTTTGATGAGTCACGCGAATGATAACTGACAGCCCCTGACTTGTTTTGTGTCCTATTTCACATTAATACGACGATTAAAAGTCGCTGGCGGGAGGGTGACTGCAGTGCCGTTCTGGTGAGGTGGCCGCTCCGGAACGGACCGAGCGCCACCGAAACTAGACCGAGCGTCGCCGAAACGAACAGAGGGCCGCCAGAACAGTTTGAGGGTGTTGCTGTTCTTGTAATATTCTCGTTTTGGCGCCCAGACGTCACCGAATCGGCGAATCTTTTTTTACTGTGCAATTTCACGCATTGAAGTAAGTGATTTTCGTCGCTCTTGCGTTACATCACGCTGGGTCGGAAGTTATTGGAACGCCCCTGTCAAAACGCGAGGGGGAAGAGGGGGGTGATCCATGCGTAAGTCAGACTCAAAGATGGACCATTAAAATCAGTGAAATTTCAAAGCCCTGCACTGTAAAAAATTTGTTCGTAAATTTACAAACAAATCAGGGGTAATTTCGTTGCACGAATTATTTGTAAATATACAACGTTTTTATGTTTTTATCGATTTATGAATTATTCTTCACGCAGTAGTTTGTAAAATCACAAACTTTTTACAAGTTCCAATTTACGTGGACCGCTTTTGTTCAACATTGTCACGCTGATTAAATGAAGATAAACTTGTTTCAGCGGATTTTTTTTGTTCTATGAAACATCTTGTAGTTCTATGAAATATCTTGTAAAATGACGAAGGCATCACCCTATTTCGTCATTTTACAAGCGATTTGCGCAACGAAATTACCCATGGATTTGTTGTAATTTTAGGAAACATTTCATATTTCTGTGACCTCACTGTAGTATTATCGTCACTTTTGAGATGTATTTAGTTCGTACCATTTCATAAAGCGGTGTTCACAAACAAATTTCATACAATTAAGAAGATTTCTGTGATGAATAATCCATAAATCGGCCTTTACAAACAAATTTCATAAAATAACGAAATGTTATTGTTACTTTACAAGGAATTTGTAAAATAAAATTTCGTAAATTCACAATAATTTTTTTACAGTGTGTAAATATCAATGTATTTTTTCAAATGTTCAACTCTTGAGAGTTTGTCTTTGTGGTTATCTCGGAGTGTATCGACAAAAAATTAGGTCATGCTTGTTTGAGTCGAAATGCAGGACATATGACAAGGTAGGTGTACGCCAGGTCGTTTCTTGTCGTCGCGATGCTGCGCCAGTTTCGACAGGCGAAGCCTGTCCTGCGGCGCTTCCTGGTTGCCTTCGGCAAGCCGGCACAGAAGTCAATGTGAAAGCAATGAGCTAAGCACTCTGTTATGAAGGATTCTCAAAGGGTTCATGATCGAAAATACCCGTATTTGTTTTGCATTAGCAACTCATTCAAACCAAGGCCCTTCGAAAACTCCAAACGAGTCCTTGGCACCGATTGCCTCAACTTAAATAATCGGGCTCCTGGATCCCCCTTCCGACCCCTCGATGAAAATGTCCTGGGAAGACCTATCTGAAACAGCAACAAGACTTTTCAGTCGGTCGACCCCCCTGTTCCAAGATCCTGCTCTGGCCAACGCGTAGAAGCGGCCGATATTGTCAACCAGGTCCATTGAATTTGTCTTGTCGCCCGATTCCAGAAATACCCCTGCATACCGTGCTAGACCACTTGTGGCCGGAATCCTCCTCCGGCTCATGTGAACCTTGCCTTTTTCTGGCGTTTAAAGTGTTTTTTGCTTACTGTTAATGAAGGAATTGAGATTGAAAGCTGTTTGGTGTGTGGCAAGCCAAAGGGACACTTAAAGACCCTTCAAAATGTCAGCCGTTCAGGAGGAGAACTTAGTGCGCACACGCAGAGTCACAGTCAAAGCTTTTCAACCCCACTGGGTAACGGGCTTCGCTATCCCTTAGCCAAAACGTGATCCATGTTTGGTAACCTTACCCTACTGATAAAGAGCGCTACGGAGAATCTTGGCAAAAATTAACAGAATAGGGTACTTAAGAGAAGAGCTGGACCGGAAAATGAGAAGAAATCAAGAAGAAGAAACGCCGGACTTGTATGAGAATGTAACTCTGCGGAAGCGGCAGAACGGCGACGCAGACGCTCATTCTTACGCATTTCGCATACTTTGTTCTTCTTGATTTTTTCTCAACTTCCGCTCCTGCTCTTCTCCGAAGTACCCTATTTTCCATACCTTTTTGCGTAAGTGCACTATCCCCGTCCCTTGGTTGCAGGCGTCGGCGCGGAGCAGGCCAGCAGCTGCTCGTCGGCGAGGCCTTCTCCCTCGCAGTGCCGGCTGGCGACGCGGTCCAGGACGAGCAGGCCTCGAGCAAGGAGACGGGCAGGAAGGCGCGCCGCGACTCCGAGTGCGGAGTGTGCTGCAAAGAGTCGTCCTCTGCTGCGCCCCTCACAAGACTCCTCGAAGTTTACAGTGCAGGGGAGGAGACGTGCAAGTTTGACGTGTGCGGAAAGCAGTTTGTCACGCTCCCGCCACTTGCTGTCGGGAAGAAGCGTTACCTGTGTGGCGTGTGAGGATTGGGCCTCGAAGACGATTCTCTCGCGTAACGCGTTCATGATTATTCTGGCCCATTTTCGACGGAAGTCGGTGTCTTGGACTACGCAGAGCCGTCTGTGGAACTACGTTCGTTCTCTAAAATCAAGTTGTGAACACTGAGAGTTACTCGTCGTATTTATTTCATCAAGTGTGATTTTGATGTTAGGGCAACACCAGTAATATTCCTGTTACAAATTGTTTGTAACGTGTAATTTTGTGTTCGAATTGTTATGCGGCCATGTTCACCTGTTCTGTTAAAAGATGCGTTTGCGTTTTCATGTCAAAAGTATCAGTTCTTCTAGTTTTGTTCGTAAAAATTCAAAGTTTACTATCATTGCACGCTAGTATTTACTGACCTTGTCGAAGGTATGAACCGGTATGAACTCACTTACTTGGTCACTGTTGAACTCTTGCTTTAGTTTTGGCACTAATGTTTTTCGGTTCGCTTCTGTTTCTACCACCTTGCGAATGTGCCAAAACGAGTAATGTTTAATGGGTTTAATCCAAATTAAGCAGACGAACCTTTCGATTTACAAATAAGCCAATTGTACGTAGCATGAAGTTGTGTTGAAACTGTTCTGCAGCCATGTTTACCTACACTGAAAATTCTAAGGCAATACTCAAGTACATTTTTGGCGATACAATTGAGTATCGCCAATAAACGGCCTTACGGAAAAGTATTGCCTTCAGAACGGCGATACACAGAAGTATCGCCAAAATTTTATACTTCAGTGTATCGCCGTTCTAAAGGCAATACTTTTCCGTTAGGCCGTTAATTGGCGATACTCAATTGTATCGCCAAAAAAGGTACTAAAAGTATTCCCTTTGTATTTAGTGTATTATGTTGAAAGACGCGTTCTCATGTAAAAAGTGCCAGTTCCTCTATTTGTGTTTGTGAAAACTCATATCTGACCATCATTGCGCTAGCTCTTTGTTTATGTTAAAAAATTACTTATTTGTACACTGTTAAAATCACACTTTAGGTCTGCCATTTAACCAGTTCAGACGTAACTCACTTCCATCTAAGTATTTTGTTTTCTGTGTATTCCTGTTGTGCAAATAAGCCATTCGATTCATTTGCAGCATATTTGCACAGGCATGTTTTTTCTTTGTGGCCTCTCTTTAGTTTGCAAACATCATTTCGAACGAGACTCTGCTATAATTTTGCATGCCATTGGGATCCCTTTGCATGGCGGGGCCTACAAAACCCGCCGATTTGACACTGGTTGTCATATTGGGTGTCCTGTTTCCAGAAAGTGTTAGCATGAGTATTTGCCTGTCTGTGGGATGCTTTTGCATGAAAGGCTTTGGTCATGGAGAAGGGAGTCTATTTGTCTGTAACTCCTCTTCCTGTCCAGGTGTGAAAGCCGAGAGCATTGACTTGCCGACGGAGAGTGCTGACTGCGACTGGAGCTCCGGACTGCAGCCGTCCCCGTGCGTGCAGTGCGCTGTGTGCGGTAAGGCCCTCGCCGCCCCCTCTGCGCCCTCGGCTGGTTCTGCCAATGACGGTGGTTCTCTTCCAGGCCCAGGCCATGGCGGTCCGTGCCCGCCGCTGCACGGAGTGTTCGACCAGCTTGACGAGGAGGGAAGCATGCCGGACTCCAAGGTCGCTGCAGGTGAGTCTTCCCGAAGGGGAATCATTCGTTTTCGAACACACCGAGTACCGTGAAACGGGGTAACTTCGGACACTTTTGATAGGTTTTTTTTTTGAAATTGTGAAAGTTGTGGTGCTGTCATGGACTTGAGGGTTAAAATGTATCATCTACCCACCTTTAGCTTCGATTTGGCGCTTATTTCAAATATTTGCACCTCACCGTTTTTACAGTGGAGGGTCCGAAGCAGTGTCCGAAATTACCCCGTGTTTTGGGGTAATTTCGGACACCCCTGGTAAAAACGACTTTTCGTTCTGATTTTGGTCCCAAAATCGATCACTGTCTCTTTCTTATGTGCTAATATGATTATATGAGAAATTCGTAAGGGTCAAGATGTAAAGATATGGTAGGGGTGGTCATCATACATAATTTGAAGTCATGTTTTGCACTCATATGTAGTTCGATTTCAGGAATAGCGGGTGGAACTGGTAGAGCCATTTAGAACGCTTCTATTTTTTAAATTTTGACCGATTAGCTTTCATAGGCAACTCGGGCCATACATTTTTACGCGAAAGTGAATCTTAAATCTTCCTCTACAAGATTACATACAATCACATACATGCATAATGCATATGAAGGGCAAGTAGTCGTGGTCGTATGTACGGTTAGGAAGATACAGGGGCTTAGTGGAAAGCTTTGCATTTTAAGGGGGCAGTAGCACTTTGTGCACGCGTTTTCAAGTTTTTTTCGAATTTTCTGTTTGCACCTGAACTAATAAGACTTCCATGAATGCTAGAGACAAACGGCAGTAACCATGTAAAAGATCAATTTTTTTGCAACAATTTGAAAAAAAAAGTATTCTGGTTTAGCATAAGGGGAGGCACTTATATGAGGGACGTAAAAAAGGTCTGCAAAATCATACATGGTGTCACTGCGCGCACGATTTCAGCCAAAGTTTTCAACTTTTTTTCAATCGGTAAAGTGCATAAAAAAGAGCATAAAATTGCCTACAAAATGAACCACGGGGGTTAATATCGGGCCAAAAACGCTGGTAGAAAAAGGTCGTTTTTCACAAATTTTCCATTGAATGCATTTTTCTTGTTCGATACTAAATATCCAGTAGCATTTTTCATCCGATATTAACCCCCGTGGTTCATTTTGTAGGCAATTTTATGCTCTTTTTTATGCACTTTACCGATTGAAAAAATGTTGAAAACTTTGGCTGAAATCGTGCGCGCAGTGACACCACGTATGATTTTGCAGACCTTTTTTACGTCCCTCATATAGGTGCCTCCCCTTATGCTAAAACAAAATACTTTTTTTTAAATTGTTGCAAAAAAATTGATCTTTTACATGGTTACTGCCGTTTGTCCCTAGCCTTCATGGAAGTCTTTTTAATTCAGGTGCAAACAGAAAATTCGAAAAAAATTGAAAAAGCGTGCACAAAGTGCTACTGCCCCCTTAATTGTAGTAAACCGGCGAGCTATGCAGCCATTCGCCAAGACTAACTCTCATGTCACATGAAAGAAAATTAATCACAAAACAGTCGTTGACACTAAGGTAGGATGTGCACATAAAACTAAGTATTAAAGATGTAGCTTTGCCCCATTTTTTTATGAAATTCGAAGTTTATAAAGCAACCGCTGTAACAATTGGGAATTATCGTTGTTATTGGATTATATTCAACTTCCAGAAGAGCTTTTCAGCTTCCATTACTCAAACCCTGCGAAATAGAAAGTGTTCAGGACATACCCACTCTCCCTGGCGTGACGTTTGTATGTCCGAAATTACCCAGTAAAGTAACAATTTTTTAGTTTTGAGCCCATATAAACCATACTATTTGACCCAGGTGATTGAAAATTTGACACAGTATGCTCTTAACATGATCAAATCGACAAACAATCACCTCATGAACCGGCCATGAACAGTTTCGGCTTGCCAGTCAATGTTTTTACGCTTAAAGCGAATTTAGGTAAAAATGGTTAAATACAAAAACCACTCTTTCTCCTGTAGTTTGCCCCTGATTTGGCCTCCGGGTGATTGATCAGATGGTATTAAGTGTGGCCGATGCGATGCGCGCAACGGGACAAGCCTCCAAGTTGGCCGTTGGATGGGAGCATCATCGCCAAGCTTCCGGGCAGAGTTGCCCGAAATTACCCCGTTTCACGGTGGCGTCAGAATGGCCCCGGTTCGTCCACTGTAGGGGGGCTCTGCAGAAGGGGGATTATAGAGGTCATTTCCCTTCTCTCAGGTACACTCTGAGAAAAAATGACGGTAAATCCTGGATAATTTTTTTGCCAAACTTTACCGTACTTCAAAAACCAGTATCCTCCGTACAGTCTACAGTATTTACCGTACTTGTTTTACAAAATATTCTGTAGTCTTTTAACAGTAGTTACCATTCTTCCGTACAGTCCATGCCGTAGGAAAGACCAGATCTGGTCCCATCAAAGGCCGCTTCCAAGAAGTGTCCACATCAGGATCTTGAAAAAAGGGGGTCGACCGACTGTAAAATTTTATTGCACCTTTCAATAGGTCTCGTCAAGACCTTTCCAACGAGTGGTCGGAAGAGGGGTCCAGGAGTCCGACTTCGGCAGTTGCGTACATCAGGAACTTGGAAAAAGAGGGTCAATCGACTGAACAAAATGATAGCAGTTTTTGATAGGTATTAAAAGTACGGAACTGCCGGGGGAAAATGTACGGGATTCCCTGTAAAAAAAGTACGGCGTTTCCTGTAAAAAAAGTACGGTATTGCCTGTAAAAAAACGACGGCATTGCCTGTTAAAAAAGTACGGTGAAGTCTGGAGTAATCAGTACAGGATTTACCGTGATCTTTTCTCTCAGTGTACTCGATGGGCCTCCTGGAAGGTAGGCAAAATACACTACTTCGCCCCTAAATAGGCAAAAGCCACTGCTTTACCATCGCCCTAGCAAAATTCTTGATACATCCTGTTACCTCGTCGCACGTTGCGCAACCGATCCACCCTTACCGTGGCCGTGGGTTGCAGGCGTCGGCGCGGAGCAGGCCCAGCAGCTGCTCGTCGGCGAGGCCTTCTCCCTCGCAGTGCCGGCTGGCGACGCGGTCCAGGACGAGCAGGCCTCGAGCAAGGAGACGGGCAGGAAGGCGCGCCGCGGATTCAACTGTGGGGAGTGCGGCCAGCGTTTCCGGACTGAGAGCGGATTGCGGGACCACCTTGCAAGTCACACTGAGGGCGGACCTCACTCGTGCGGGGTGTGTGGCAAGGAGTTCTCCAGGAAGAGTCTTCTTGTGAGGCACTCGAGGACCCACACCGGGGAGAAGCCTTTCAAGTGTGGGGAGTGCGGGAGGGCATTTTCTGTTTCATCTGATTTAGTGACACACAAGAGGATCCACACTGGGGAGAAACCTTACAAGTGTGACGTCTGCCGAAAAGCATTTTCTCAGTCATCTCATTTAGTGAATCACAAGAGGACCCACACCGGGGAGAAGCCTTACAAGTGTGACGTCTGCGGGAAGGCATTTTCTGATTCATCCGCTTTTGCGCGACACAAGAGGATTCATGCCACGAAGAAGCCGTAGGAATGTGGTGTCTGTGCAAAGATGGTTTTGTGGGCATGCAACGCGAAATGACACAAGGGGACCTATGACGCGCGGACGCACACAGGTGTGTTGAGAATGGGCGCTCTCTATTAAGCTTTGTTTGGCTTCACTCTGAGTCAATCTTCTGTTCTCGTCTATGTCGACCTTGTTTCTTTGGATTATGTCCTTGCCTTTTAATGAAGAGTTGCTGTGTAAAGTGAGCACCAGTATTGCATTCTTTTTTAATTTCAGTTTATTTTATTTCCCTTGCTAAATTGCCACACGGACGATTCTTTTTGTTTTATTTCCTATCTCTCGGGAGTGGGCCACTTGTTTCTCTTCGTCGACATTTTTGCCAGTTAGTGTTGTTGTTCTGAGAAGTGTAAAGGGACAGTGTAGTCTATTGGAAACGGCGGAATACCGATTGCAAATCCCCCCCTTTTCTGTAACACGTTGTTTGTATCGCCTTCTTTCAACCAGAGAAACGAAGGTTCTCTTAACATCGACTTGATTGTACAAAACTAGGTGTTAAACGAGTTGTAGTAGACCTTTCCATGATCGAAATGATTGTACGAAATAAAATCGAACTGTTCGCACTAGGGTTTAAAAATTACCGGTAATTTTCAATCTGGACGGTAAATTACGGTAACATTGGTCATTTACCGTAATTTACGGTAAATAACGGAAAAATTCGATCTTATGTTTATGTGCACTTTTGCATGTAAACTGTTAATAATTTGTTTTCAAAGGGAATTTTAGACTAGCGGAGTGTTTTAAAAGGCATATGAAAGTGGTTGAGACACTTTTATTGCCAAATATTCATGCCTTTGTGCACTCTGAGTAAATTTCAGCTGTAAAAACATCAGGAAGGTTAGGTTAAGTCGAAAATTACCGTAATTTACCGATTTTCGCAGAGTAAATTACCGTAAATTACCGGTATTTTACCCATTCTTACCGGTAAGTTTACCAGGCTTTAAATCCCTAGTTCGCACCATTAATGTTGACTGACCCCCATCTCGTTCCTCCCACGAACGGGCGCACGTTGCCACTGGAACTTCGTTGACGTACATTGTAATTGCAATGTCTTTCGAAGCGGTAAGTTTCTTGTTTTATCGGTAGCAGTATCGTTCGAAGTTTGTTTTTCCTTTTGGGTGTGTCTGCGCAGTGACGACAGCCCACTCCCTGTTTGTAACCGATGTGATGCCGTATGTGAATTTTTTCCACCTTCGATTGTATACCAAGTCACTTTTGTTTGAACGTGACACGACTTTTTAATTATTTTGTCTCATTCGCCTTATACTGTTGGTCAACATTCTGACGGGTGAAATGTAGTTTTGAGACGAACGTTTTAAAATGCGCATTCTAACAAAGGTTACGCCTCATTCGTTGACAGTGACGCGTTTTGATTTCGACGAGACTTTCTGAGGGGAGCTTTCTCTTCAACACTCTAAATGTCTTACGAAGAAATTTCCCATAATACGAAGGAAATGGCGCAAGCATAATACGAAGGTGGTTTTTCTTCGTATTACGAAGGTTTTTCTTTGTATCTTACAGTGAGAAAGCTGAAAAGATTCGTATTACGACGAGATATTGCTTCGGATTATGCTTGCGCCAAAATCACCGTAACATACGAATAACATAGGTCAAATTTCATTGTAAGACATTTAGAGTGAAGTTCCACGCCGTGTTCAAGGCCTCCTCGTCTTCATTGAATCAATTTTTTCCCCTGCCGCTAACAGAGGGAGTTCAGACACTAACTGCGTTTGTTCGGTTACAGGTGTTACCGCGGACCAGACCCAGCGGTTCCCGCTCAGTGCGACCTTCTCCATCGCAGTGCAGGCCCCGAGCAGGGGGTCAGGCAGGCAGCGTTTGAGTGTGGAGTGTGTGCAGAGGAGGGGTCCCTGCTGCGATTCTCCGAAGACACCCGAGATTGCATCAATCCGGAGCCACATGAGTGCAATGCGTGCGCATTTCGCAAAGTGTGTCTCGCTTCGAATCTGGAGAGCTCCCTGTTTCGTCCGTTAACGCGACGTGGAATCTGTGGATCTGGAAATTTCCGGATGTATAACGTCCACGGGTGGTGACAAGGACCTGATTTTATTTCTTCATCTCGTCCGTACCTGCGTCTGTTCGGTTTTGATAGCGAGGCTTTGAGAACTGTCCATTCTCTATTCACATTAAAATTGCGGCAAAAAGTCCGGGAACGGTCGATCGTTTTCGCTGTTCCTAAGAATCGCCTTTATCTTCCTGCACCCGGTACCGCCCTTCTTGTAGTATAGTGCTGCATGCCTGGGGAACTTTTGCATGCCGGGATGCTCGGGACACGTTAATTGCACTTTTACAAGCCTACGAAGCATTTGCTTCATAACTGCAAAGAAATGGAAGGCATTGTAGTTATTGCTTCGTGTTATGAAAAAAAAGCTTCGTTTTACGAATGATTTTGCTTCATACTACGAAGCATACTTCTTCGTAGATTTTACCATGCCTTCGTTTTCTTCGCATTACGAAGCGATTTTTCGTACTGTGTGGACGCTGGTTGTTAACTTTGGTGCTGACTCGTTACTTTCTGTCCAGACTTGAAAACCGAGAGCATCGACTTGCCGACGGAGAGTGCGGACTGCGACTTCGGTTCCGGACTGCAGCCGTCGCCGTGCGTGCCTGACGAGGAGGAAAGCATCCCTGACCCGAAGGTCGCTGCAGGTGAGTCAGTCCTGTCCAACTCTTTACACAGTGTGCCGCTCACGTAACTTCGTAGGTTGCCATGACTTCGGGTAGTGTGTGAGGTTCCTGTTCGTTTCTCAGTGTCACGCTGGTTGAACCCTTGCCGGTCGCTTCGATGCGTTCGCCTGTGGGAGCACTTGTGTGCACCCAGTACACTCCTCGAAGCGCGTGCTTGCAAGCATGGGCCTCGGGGCGTGTATACCTGCCGAAGCTCGCACCTCGAAGTGTGTACTCATGGAGCACACTCTTGGAGACGCATACTCGGCATAAGGACATAAAGCATGTCAGGCATAGGAAAGGTGGTTGGCTCCGCGCACCTTGTCAACTGCCATAAGCGCAAGGGACGTTTCCACGCCAACTGAGTCAGTCACGAACGGCATGGTCTCAGATCGGGACGAAACTTACTCAAATTGTCTGTTGAGCGATAGCGAAGCCCCTTTCTCCAGTGGGGTTGAAAAGTTTTGTCTGTCTGTCCCCTCCGTCCCCTTTGCCCCTCGGCTGGTTCTGAGAAGCTCCAGACAAAAAAAACCACTTGGTCGGCGACATCCTAGGAGCGGGCGCTTGTGGTGTTTTATCGGTTCCTTGTATGTATACGAACTGCCGAAAAGACACTTGGACGAAATCCGACACCCCCTGTGGCTTTGGTACGGGTCTAAACACCCCAAAAACAGCTGTTTTCGAGGGTTTGGGACTAGATGGGTTCTCGCAAACCGAGATCCAAAAAAGTACCCAAATGGGTCTCAGATACTCAAAAAAATGCGCTCTTTCGAATGCCGTGTCGAACGAGGCTCTACGACGTCGGGTTTGGATGCTACGGGCTCTCAAAGTTGCTCAATTTCACTATTTTTACTAAAGATTTGGGCATATCAGGGCCGTTTGAAGTAGACCATCGGCGATTTCGCTCCTCTTTGTCTTAAATGGTGCCTACCCATAGGTAAACACCCCCACAAAATTTCAGCCATGTCAGGCAATTATTAGAGGAACTGTGAACAATTTAAGTTTTGGGCCTTTTTACCACTGGGCTTAGGTGGTTTTGGGTCCAGAAAAAATAATTTTTTTAGCTATCTACTTTTGATCAGCACCTCTTGAAACGCCTTTTTAACATGGTGCCTCAAAACTTTTTTTCGAGGACAAACTTGTCCAAGTTATGTTCCAACTACAGCTAGAAAAAGAAAAGTTTGCCTCCGAAAAAAAGTTTTGAGGCACCATGTTAAAAAGGCGTTTCAAGAGGTGCTGATCAAAAGTAGATAGCTAAAAAAATTATTTTTTCTGGACCCAAAACCACCTAAGCCCAGTGGTAAAAAGGCCCAAAACTTAAATTGTTCACAGTTCCTCTAATAATTGCCTGACATGGCTGAAATTTTGTGGGGGTGTTTACCTATGGGTAGGCACCATTTAAGACAAAGAGGAGCGAAATCGCCGATGGTCTACTTCAAACGGCCCTGATATGCCCAAATCTTTAGTAAAAATAGTGAAATTGAGCAACTTTGAGAGCCCGTAGCATCCAAACCCGACGTCGTAGAGCCTCGTTCGACACGGCATTCGAAAGAGCGCATTTTTTTGAGTATCTGAGACCCATTTGGGTACTTTTTTGGATCTCGGTTTGCGAGAACCCATCTAGTCCCAAACCCTCGAAAACAGCTGTTTTTGGGGTGTTTAGACCCGTACCAAAGCCACAGGGGGTGTCGGATTTCGTCCAAGTGTCTTTTCGGCAGTTCGTATACATACAAGGAACCGATAAAACACCACAAGCGCCCGCTCCTAGGATGTCGCCGACCAAGTGTTTTTTTTTGTCTGGAGCTTCTCTCTGCCAATGACGGTGGTTCTCTTCCAGGCCCAGGCCATGGCGGTCCGTGCCCGCCGCTGCACGGAGTGTTCGACCAGCATGACGAGGAGGGAAGCATGCCGGACTCCAAGGTCGCTGCAGGTGAGTCTTTCGGAAGGGGAATGATATGTTTTCGAACACGGCAAGTAGTATCGGAATGGCCCTGGGTCGTCCACAGGACGGGCGCGGCTGCTAAAGGGGAGTGATTTCCCTTTTCTCGGGTACTTGATGGGCTGCCTGGAAGGTAGGCAAAATGCACTACCTCGCCTCTGTAAATACACTGCAAACCTAACTGTCAACTAAGTACACACCTACAAATGCATGCTTGCAAGTACACACTTTCAAACGCATGCTTGACGCATGGAGTAATACGGCGTCAAGCATGTGTTTGTAAGTGTGTACTTGCATGCATGCATTTATAAGTGTGTGCTTCGTAGACTGTTACGTTTGTAGTGTAGGGGAAAGCCACTGCTTTACCATCGCCTTGGCAAAATTCTTGATCCCGCCTGTCACCTTAACTCTCTAGGGTCGCCGCCCGTTTCGCAAACGATCCACCCTTACCGTGGCCGTGGGTTGCAGGCGTCGGCGCGGAGCAGGCCCAGCAGCTGCTCGTCGGCGAGGCCTTCTCCCTCGCAGTGCCGGCTGGCGACGCGGTCCAGGACGAGCAGGCCTCGAGCAAGGAGACGGGCAGGAAGGCGCGCCGCGGATTCAACTGTGGGGAGTGCGGCCAGCGTTTCCGGACTGAGAGCGGATTGCGGGACCACCTTGCGAGTCACACTGAGGGCGGACCTCACTCGTGCGGGGTGTGTGGCAGGGAGTTCCCCTGGAAGAGCTATCTTGTAAGGCACTCGAGGACCCACACCGGGGAGAAGCCTTTCAAGTGTGACGTCTGCGGGAAGGCATTTTCAGACTCATCTCATTTAGTGTCACACAAGAGGATCCACACTGGGGAGAAGCCTTTCAAGTGTGGCGAGTGCGGGAGGGCATTTTCTAATTCATCTGATTTAGTGAGACACAATAGGACCCACACTGGAGAGAAGCCTTTTAAGTGTGGAGAGTGCGGAATGGCATTTTCAGCGTCAGGTCATTTATTGACACACAAAAGGACCCACACTGGGGAAAAGCCTTACAAGTGCGACGTGTGCGGGAAGCAGTTTGGTCAATCATACTGTTTAGTGGTCCACAGAAGGATCCACACTGGGGAAAAGCCTTACAAGTGCGACGTGTGCGGGAAGGCATTTTATGATTCATCCGTTTGTGCGCGACACAAGAGGATTCATGCCACGAAGAAGCCGTAGGAATGTTGTTTTTGGTGTCTGTTGGAAGACGATTTTTGGGCATAAAACGCGAAATCACACGAGGGGACCCACGACGAGAGGACGCACACAGGTGTTTTGAAAATGGGCCCTCCTTACTATCAAGCTTTGAATTTTGCTTCAGTTTCTCTGAGTTGCGCTTTTGTTCTCGTCTATGTCGACCATGTTTTCCTTTGATTATGTCCCCGCCTTTCAATGTAAAGTTCCCGTGTAACGTTAGCGCCAGTATTGCATTCTTTATGAATTCGAGTTTATTTTTTTGCCGTGCTAAGCTGTCACACGGAAGATTATTTTTGTTTTATTTCTTATCTCATGGAAGTGAGCCACTTGTTTCTCTCCGTTGACATTTTTGCCAGTTAGTGTTGTTGTTGTGAGAAGTGTAAAGTGACAGTGTAGTTTATTTGAAACAGCGGGAAGACCGATAGCAATTCTCCCCTTTCTTTGTAACACGTTGTATGTAACGCCAAATTATTTTTTCTTTCAACCAGAACGTCTTTTTAAGATCGAACTGACTATAGAAAACAAGCTGTTACTTGGCGAGTTATAGAAGACCTTTCCACTATCGAAATGATTGTACGAAATAAAATCCAACTGTTGGCACCATTAATGTTGACTCACCTCCAGCCCTTGCTTCGTTCCTGCAGCGACCGGGCGCGTGTTGTTACAGAAACTTTGTTGACGTACATTGTATTTGCAATGTATTTCGAAGCGGTAAGTTTTTTGTTTAATCGGTAGGAGTGTCGTTCGAAGTTTGTTTTTCCTTTTGGGTGTGTCTGCGCAGTGACGCACTCCCTGTTTGCAACAGATGTGGTGCCATATGTGATTTTTGTTTCCACGTTCGATTGTATACCAAGTCACTTTTGTTTGAACGCGACACGACTTTTTAACTATTTTGGCTCTAACATTGGTCAACATTCTAACGAGTGAGATGTAGTTTTGAGACTAACGGGTCGAAATGCGCATTCGAACAAAGGTTACGCCTCATTCGTTAACAATGACGCGTTTCGATTGCGACGAGAGTTCCAGAGGGGAGCTTTGTCTTCATGTGCCACGCCGTGTTCATGGCCTCTCAGTCTTGTGACTGCATCAACCCTTCCCCCCTGCCGCTAACGGAGGGAGTGCAGACACTAACTCCGGTTGTTCGGTTGCAGGTGTTGCCGCGGACCAGACCCAGCAGTTCCCGCTCAGTGCGACCTTCTCCACCGCAGTGCAGGCCCCGAGCAGGGGGTCGGACAGGCAGCGTTTGAGTGCGGAGTGTGTGAAGGGGAGGGGTCCTTGCGCGATTCTACGAAGACAGCCGAGATTGCATCAATCCGGAGCCACACGAGTGCAATGCGTGCGCATTTCGCAAAGTGTGTCTCGCTTCGAATGCGGAGAGCTCCCTGTCTCGTCCGTAAAGGCAACATGGAAGCTTCGGATCCGGATATTTCGTGATGTCCGCCGGCGGCGACAAGGACCAGATTTTATTCCGTCATCTCGTCCGTCTGTGTCTGTTCGGTTTTGATAGCGAAGCTCTGAAAATAGTCTACTCGCATTTTAATTGCTGTAGATAGTCCTGGAACGGTCGTTTTCGCAGTTCCTAAGAATCGTCTTTATTTTCCTGCTCCCAGTCCAAGTACCGCCTTTCTTGTAGTGTAGTGCTGCATGCCTGGGGCGCTTTTGCATGCCGGGGCGCTCGGGACACGTCCTTTGCAGTCTTCAAAGCCCAGCATTTGCTTCATAACCTCAAAGAAAACGAAGGCATTGTAGTTATTGCTTCCTATTATGAAGAAATGCTTCGGTGTACGAGGGGTTTTGCTTCATAATACGAAGCATTTCTTCGTAGATTTTACAATGCCTTCATTTTCTTCGCATTACGAAGCGATTGTTCGTAGAGTTTTTACGGTGTGGACGCTGGTTGTCATCTTTGGTGCTGACTCGTTGTTTTCTGTCCAGACTTCAAAACCGAGAGCATCGACTTGCCGACGGAGAGTGCGGACTGCGACTTGGGTTCCGGACTGCAGACGTCGCCGTGCGTGCCTGACGGGGAGGAAAGCATCCCTGACCCGACGATCGCTGCAGGTGAGTCAGTCTTGTCCAACGCTTTACATAGTGTGCCGCTCACGCAACTTCGTAGGTTGGGACGACTTCGGGTGGTGGTGGTGGTGGTGGTGGTGGGTGTGTGTGTGTGTGTGTGTGTGTGTGTGTGTGTGTGAAGCTTAGTACGTTTTCAGCGTTAAGCTGAATGAACCCTTTGCCGGTCGCTTAGATGCGTTCACCTGTGGGAGCGCACAAAATCTATGTGTGTACCCAGAACACTCCTCGAAGCGCGTGCTTGCAAGCGTGGGCCTTGGGGCGTGTACTTGCCTCAGCTCGCGCCCCGTAGTCTGTATTTGAATGAGCACGCACCTCGAAGTGTATACTCATTGAGTACACTCTTGGAGGCGCATACTTGGCATAGGGACAAAGCATGTCAGGCGTCAGGCGTAGGAAAGGTGTTTGGCTCCACGCACCTTGTCAATTGCCCTCAGCGCAAGGGATGATTCCACGCCAACTGAGTCAGTAACAAAACGGCATGGTCTCAGATCGGGCTGAAACTTACGCAAATCGTAGGTCTAGTAGATGACTTGGTGAGACGTGCTGAGACGTCTCAAGGTGGTACAAAACGTAGGGTAAGCGCCAGCAGAGCACGCCTGAATAACAGTGTGCCTCTTAAATGAATAAGTGTGCTCCGAACATCTTTCCGAACGAGACCCTGATTTAATTTTGCATGCTATTGGGTGCCGTGGCTTAACAGGGCCCACGAAACCCACCAGTTCGTATTGGGTGCTCACTGCTCTTTCTGTCCAGGTTTGAAGGCCGAGAGCATCGACTTGCCGACGGAGAGTGCTGACTGCGACTGGAGTTCCGGACTGCAGCCGTCCCCGTGCGTGCAGTGCGCTGTGTGCGGTAAGGCCCTGGCCGCCCCCTCTGCGCCCTCGGCTGGTTCTGCCAATGACGGTGGTTCTCTTCCAGGCCCAGGCCATGGCGGTCCGTGCCCGCCGCTGCACGGAGTGTTCGACCAGCTTGACGAGGAGGGAAGCATGCCGGACTCCAAGGTCGCTGCAGGTGAGTCTTCCGAAGGGATATCATCCGTTTTCGAACACGCCGAGTAGTACCGGAATGACCCTGGGGGCGCGGCTGCAGAAGGGGGTTAAAGAGGTCATTTCCCACCTCTCGGGTACTTGATGGGCCGTCTGGAAGGTAGGCAAAATGCTTTATAGAGGTCATTTTCCTACTCGCGGTACTTAATGGGCCGCCTGGATGGGAGGCAAAGTGCACTGCTTTGCCCCTGTTTAAAGGCAAAAGCCACTTCTTTCCCATCGCCATGGACAGGCTTATTTAAGAAAAGCAGGGCCTTACAACGACCCCCTTGGATTTCGCTGATTTTTTGGTGGTAAGTAGTCCCCCATGGTGGGAGTTCATGGTCAAAATTTCAGACCTCAAAAAAGTTTTCTCTGTGAGATATGGGGATTTAAAGTTTTTTTTGGGTATTTAAACACTAATTTTTCTGTTGAATAAGACCAGTTTCAAAAAGATCGGATAACTTTAACTGCAAAATCCCGAAATTTGGGACTTTTTAAGTAATTTTTTTTTTCAAGAAAAAGTGTGTTTTTCTCATGATAAAATGATTTAAGGTCAAATCTGACGGCAGGATCGTGTTCCCCGTTCAATTTTGAAGCCAGAACCCGAATCTGGAACCAATCGGACAAAAAGTCCCTGAGATATAAGAAATACCCTAAATTAGTTTAAAACTACCCAAAACTACTTTAAATCCCCATATCTCACAGAGGACATTTTTTTGAGGTCTGAAATTTTGGCCATGAACTCCCACTATGGGTGACTATTAACCACCAACAAATAAGCGAAATCCACGGGGGTCGTATTAAGGCCCTGCTTTTCTTAAATAAGCCGGCTCCATAGAAAAATTCTTGACCCCGCCTGTCACCTTAACTCTCTTGGGTCGCCGCACGTTGCGCAACCGATCCACCCTTACCGTGGCCGTGGGTTGCAGGCGTCGGCGCGGAGCAGGCCCAGCAGCTGCTCGTCGGCGAGGCCTTCTCCCTCGCAGTGCCGGCTGGCGACGCGGTCCAGGACGAGCAGGCCTCGAGCAAGGAGACGGGCAGGAAGGCGCGCCGCGGATTCAACTGTGGGGAGTGCGGCCAGCGTTTCCGGACTGAGAGCGGATTGCGGGACCACCTTGCAATTCACACTGAGGGCGGACCTCACTCGTGCGGGGTGTGTGGCAAGGAGTTCTCCAAGAAGAGCGATCTTGTGAGGCACTCGAGGATCCACACCGGGGAGAAGCCTTACAAGTGTGACGTCTGCGGAAGGGCATTTTCTGATTCATCTGATTTAGTGAAACACAGGAGGATCCACACCGGGGAGAAGCCTTTTAAGTGTGACGTGTGTGGAAAGACGTTTGCTGAGTCAGGTCATTTAGTGAAACACAAGAGGACCCACACTGGGGAGAAGCCTTACAAGTGTGGGGAGTGCGGAAAGAAGTTTGCTGTGTCAAGTCATTTAGTGACACACAAGAGGATCCACACTGGCGAGAAGCCTTTCAAGTGTGACGCGTGTGGCAAGGCCTTTTCTGATCCATCTGCCCTAATGGTGCACAAGAGAGTCCACACTGGAGAGAAGCCCTATACGTGTGACTTGTGCGGGAGGGCATTTTCTCATTCAGCTACTTTTGCGCGACACAAGAGGATTCACGCGGCAAAGAAGCTGTAGGCATATGGCGTGTGATAAAAGACGTTTTCGTGGGAATGCACACGAGAGGACACGCGGACACACTGCTGTTTGTAAAATTCGTTCCCTTTATTGATTTTTGCTCCGTTGTCGACTAATATTATATACACGCAGCGTTTAAATAATAAAATTGGACTTTATGTACACGCAGCGTGCACATAACAGAAAAAAAATTATTGACACGCAGGATTTTTCCCCTCAGACGTCCACCGACGGTGGCCATGTGGGACAAAATGTTCCTGCGTGCAAATAATATTTTGGCGTTTATTTAAACGCTGCGTGTCTCCAAGGCACCAAAAAATTATTGGCACGCAGGATTGTAAAAAGTCTTCCGACCGGCGACTGAGTCCGGCATGGCGGCTTGGTGGGTGAGTGGGTCCGTGCTTGCACGGGAATTTTTTGGCCCGGGTTCGAGACTCGCCTTCTTCTCAAAAAATTTCTGCGTGTCAATAACGAAAACCGGTGTTGTTTCAACGCTGCGTGTTTATAATAAATTCACATGTTATTTACACGCAGCGTGTCTGCAATTCCAGTTTTATTATTTTCACGCAGGAGAAGTTTTGCTGCGTGCAAATAATATTTTGGCTTTTATTTGAACGCTGCGTGTCTCCAAGACACCAAAAACTTATTGGCACGCAGGATTGTAAAAAGTCTTCCGACCGGCGACTGAGTCCGGCATGGCGGCTTGGTGGATGAATGGGTCCGTGCTTGTACGGGAATTTTTTGGCCCAGGTTCGAGACTTCGCCTTTTTCTCAAAAAATTTCTGCGTGTAAATAATAAAACTGGGTCTTGCAGACACGCTGCGTGTAAATTACATGTGAATTTATTATAAACACGCAGCGTTGAAACAACACCGGTTTTCATTATTGACACGCAGAAATTTTTTGAGAAGAAGGCGAGTCTCGAACCCGGGCAAAAAAATTCCCGTGCAAGCACGGATCCACTCACCCACCAAGCCGCCATGCCGGACTCAGTCGCCGGTCGGAAGACTTTTTAAAATCCTGCGTGCCAATAATTTTTTGGTGTCTTGGAGACACGCAGCGTTTAAATAAAAGCCAAATTATTATTTGCACGCAGCAAAACTTTTCCTGCGTGTAAATAATAAAACTGGAATTGCAGACACGCTGCGTGTAAGTAACATGTGAATTTATTATAAACACGCAGCGTTAAAACAACACCGGTTTTCATTATTAACACGCAGAAATTTTTTGAGAAGAAGGCAAGTCTTGAACCCGGGCCAAAAAATTCCCGTGCAAGCACGGACCCACTCACCCACCAAGCCGCCATGCCGGACTCAGTCGCCGGTCGGAAGACTTTTTACAATCCTGCGTGCCAATAATTTTTTGGTGCCTTGGAGACACGCAGCGTTGAAATAAAAGCCAAAATATTATTTACACGCAGCAAAACTTTTCCTGCGTGTAAATAATAAAACTGGGCCTTGGAGACACGCTGCGTGAAAATAAGATGTTTATATATTATATACACGCTGCGTGTATATAAGACCCATTTTTATTATTTAAACGCTGCGTGTCTATAATGACTCCGTTGTCGCTATAGTAAGCTCTTGTTATCGTCAGTGCTGATCTTGTTCGACTTTTAATTGTGTGCGTATCTTTGTAAGGGGAGTATCTCTCCTAAGAGAATAACAGTGCCGCATATGCTTTTTTTAAATCAAGGTTTTGTTATATGTCGCCTTGTTGCATTGGAGTTCATATATGTTTCATTCCTTGTTTCTTGGAACTGCTTCATTTGTTTTCCTGCTTCGACACCTTGCCAGTCAGCCTTGTTGTGTTTGTAGTTTTAGGAAGTGAAAAGTGACAGCTCGGTGTATCCAATAGGTATATTCGGAACAATAATAGGACTACTTCAATTACCGTTTCCTTACTATGTTGTTTTTAACACCTTATAAATGTTTAATGAACAAAGTAAAATGGATCGTTCCAACATCGAATTGACTGTAAAAGGGAAAGAAGCTGTTTTCACTAACCATGTATGTTTCTTTCCCCCTGCCGCAAACGGAGGGAGTGCAGGGGTGCTATGCTATTGCACTCTCAGACTCGTATTGACTTTTCATCTTTTGCCATAAAGGTTTTTGTGCAAACGTAATATGTACTATTTTCTCTTTGGCTATGCACTATTTTGTTCATTGTATAATGTTTATAGTCCATTAAAGGGGACTTAATGTCATTTGCAATGTACTTTTCAATTTCTACATGATCTATTGACTATTATATCCCTAAAACGATCAAAATTGTGCATAGTTAAGGGGAAAATAGTACATTTTACGTTTGCTCAAAAACCGCTATAAGCAAGAGAGAAAAAAGTCCATATAGGTCTGAGCCTGTGCTCCCCGCTCCGACGCTCTCTCCGTTTGTCCGGTTGCAGGCGTCACCGGAGACTAGTCCCCGCGGTTCCTGTTGAGTTAGACCTTCGCCCTCCCAGGACCTCGAGTAGGGCGTTGGGCGCGCAGGCTAATTTTAATCGTACATTATACTGTCAAGAAGAGTTCAACAGCTATGATGCATGACAGTTTCAGCATTGTAATTAATGATTAGAGCTTCACTATAAGTGTGATGAAATGTATTAAAATTCATTCAGCGGTTCTTCATTGGCCGACGACGTGGTAACGAGTAACCTGCTGAACCTTGTGGAACCCTACTGATGACGTGTTTCGAACTGGCAGTTGTTTCAGTGTAGCCGAGTCGGGTTACGTCAAAGAACGATATCCCTGACTGTTGTTTCTTTTCCTTGACCCGGATCGCTTAGAGTGAAACACACGCCGAAACCTTGTCTGTCCCCACGCTGTCAGGGAACTTAACTACTGAGATGCCATTAGCATGCCGCTATAGTGTCACGCACTCAATGCCTTTGCATTTTTTGTCCGTAACTGATGCCATATTTGTGCCTATGTAAGGTATGTACCAATTTGCATATTAGGTCCCATTTTATAAATACTTTGCCTGAATATCGTATTGTCCCATAATGTTCCGTACCTAAATAGGCAACAATTATGGATACTTAGAGATCAACAATTAGAGTGCAATAATGCCAAATGCACGTGTTTGACAGTCTCCTAACCTAACCTAACCATTGAAAAAGTTCCAAACCACCCAAATTTCTATTTTGCTTGGGAAATTTCCGGCAGGTATGTAAAGAAATCGCTTTGAAAAATATGACCCCGCGTAAGTCTCCCGACAGAACTATACCGTATTTCTCGGGACTCGTCATCCAATTTGGAGCCTTCATTGTTCCTTTCGCTGCATCTTCGTGCTGTCTCTCTCGGGCTGATTGTGTAGCCAGTTTGCTGTTTCGCGCGAGAGGCACCTCGTGGACACCCTGGTACGGTACCAGCCCTTGGTGCTAACACTGTCTTTTCTGACCAGGGTTGGGAGCTGAGAGTGGAGACTTGCGGAGTGTCGGCTGAGTCCCGCGTTTGGCGGAGTGCGTGCACCGCGTCGTTGGCGTCGAGGCCTTCGCCGCCCCCTTGTGCGCCCTCGGCTGCTTCCATCGCTGGTGGCTGTGCGTTTCGCGGCAAGGAGGTCCGTGGCCGCCGCTCGGTCGTGCGGTCCGCAGATTGCTGCCGGTGAGTCCTTCCCGAGGCGCCTGGAACGCATCGCTCGAAGTGCGTGGTGTCAAACGTCACAGAAATGTCATTTGAAGCTAACATCTCCGTGGAAAGCCCTCTCTGCTACCGCGCCGCGACCTCTTCATGTAGAGCTCAGTCGGAAAGCCTCGAAAGTCAAGGCCCCTTGGTTGCAGGCGTCGGCGCGGCGCAGGCCCAGCAGGGACTCACCGGCGAGGCCTTCTCCCTTGCACTCGTGCGGGGTGTGTGGCAAGGGCAAGAGGAGCAGCGTCGTGAGGCACACGAGGATCCATTCCGTGCCAAACGTGCCACTAAGAGAGTCCTCTCCAAGAATCACACACAAATGACACGAGACAATCAAGCAATCTGTGTACAGCAAACTTCCGAGTGAGGGGTCCCTTGGTCCTTTCCAATTTGCTGTTAATTGTTCATTCAAATTTATACTGCTACATTAAAAGCTTATGCTGTCGTCACTGAAAACCTTGTTTTGCTTTCAAACTTGTCCGTAGCTTAAATTTAAACAGTTCCAAACATTTATTGTAATTGCTTATGGTTTCTTAGTCTTAGAGATTTGTTACTTGAAAGAGTACCCAAGTTTCATTATCGTTTGAAAGTGCACCTGGAGTTCATTTTAAAGACGCTTTTGCAGGTCTTTGTTGTAATTGTTCTGTAAAATGCATACCAACATATGGGCATATGCGGTATGATAAGTAAATCTGCATTGCTTTCTCTCACTTCTTTGCAGTACTTCGTTGTATTTTTCTGATTGCTGTATCTGACATGGTAGTTCAAGTCAAACTGTACGCACCATTAACGTTCTTAATAACGCCATTCCTTTCCATCACTTTCAGTGCGCAGCTGGCCTGCAAGGGACGGCTAACCACCAGCAGGTCCTCTGTCATTTCGTCATAACCAGTTGTGCACGCAGTTTTAGCACAAATTTCCGACGCTTTATGTTTGTTACATTTTGTACGTGGTGATGAATTTTTTTGGCCCGCCCTTCTATTCAATAACAGGAAAAGTAGCGATATACATCGGCAACTTTGGCCCGTCCCGTACATTAACAAATGTGTGAATTTCGCCTTTGTTTAACCCTGACGAATTTAAACCAGGGTCTAGGGTCAAAATAAATGTCGTTTTCGTCATCAGCACCCTCAAAAACATCAGAAACAATGCAAAAACTCGAATAAAAAGAATGTTCCGAAAATACCCCACTGGGATTTGAACCCGGGTCCGAACTTCTCCGATTCGTTCGAAAGTGGCACCATTGGTTTTTTCTCGTCGCACCGATTCCAAAAATACCCCTACATGCCCTGCTAGCTGCATCCGTTGCCGAGATCCTCCTCGACCCCATGTACACTGAAAAAACAAATGCGGAGAATTCCGCATTTGAAATGCGGTTTAGGTAAGTGACCGCATGAAGTGATGCGGTCACCTGAATAGCCAGGATTTTGATGCAATTTCACCGCAGGAGTCATGCGGTGTAAAATTTAACCGCATTTCCTGATGCGGTTTCCATTTTGACCGCATGAACTGATGCGGAGTCCTACATTTCATAACAGCCAAACAGCTAGCGGCTGCTACCAACTTTCCGTCTCTTACTGGACAACAAGAAAAGGATGGCATGTACTGTGCCTTCTCATTTACTTCTGATGCTTATCATTGACTAA